TTTATCTAATTATAATTATAAATAAGTAAATATAATATTAATTAATGGAACCTGTGGCCATGAAATAATACAGTACAAATATAAAGACGTTAAATATTTACTAAATTAAAAAATAAAAAAGGGGCCAGTACAAATTGAATTTATAAGAAATTAATTGTCGGCTCAACAATAAAAGTCCTTGAGAATTCTTTAGAATTTTATTCTTGTTTTTTCTTCAGTTATTTTATAAGAAAGCAATCGAATGCTTTGATAATAAAATTATTCTTATTATAAACTCGTACTTTTATGACTTTGTAATGATTTTATACGAGTAAAAAAAATATAAATATAAATATAATTTTATTAGATTAATTTTTTTTTTGGTTGCACAACTTTTTTGATTTATTCGCTACGTAAACATTATTAGTAGTTTAAACAACGAAAGATTTATCGATTATTTAATACTCGATTTTATCTTTCAAAGTATGTTACTTGTATGTACATTTATTCATCATTATTACTATTATTGTTTGTCAATAATAATTATAATTATTATTAATTTTGTTTGTAGTTAAGTTATTCTGCTAATTTATTATTAAGCGCACACCTGAACGTGTAAATTTTACACTTTTAAAAAATAATATTCATCAATATATGAATATTAATATCCAACACACATACACGTTGCGCAGTTATTAAAAATTGGTATAATTTTATCAAATCTTGGTTATTTTTATTTATTATGCATCCTCACGAATTATCCCTACAAAATATTCATTTTATTTCTATATTAGTTATTTAGCATCTGCATGGTATCTATCTTATTTATTTATTTAAAAAAGGCAAAGTTCAAAGTCTAATGTAACAAAATATTTTACAGAGTACGGATCAAAATCGGAATCAGCTGAAAAAACTAAAGGACGTGATTCATTGAACAACAGCGGAAGAACAAGTTCTCCATTAACGCCATCAGCATCTCAATTGGAATCTCTAAGATTAACACCAACGACATCAACTCCATCAGCAACATCAGCTACGACTGTATCCAGTACAGCATCTTCTTCCAGTGGAACTACAACGACGACAACAACTACATCAGCACGTAGTGCTTCAGCATCACCAGCGACCAGTCGTGGGAGTGCTCAAACTCCAGTAACAAATCCCTCTAATCAAAGTCCGGCTGAAGGTGCAATGTCTGCACCATCTGGTCGTCAAGTACCAAAACGTCGTATGAGACGAAGAGCTACGTCTCAATCACAAGATCCAGCTGAACAACTTACTGAAATGTCAGTACGTGGTCTCAACCTCTTTCGCTATGCATCAATATCCGAAGGAGTCTATCAGTGCACCGAATGTGCAAAGCTTGACATTCAAAAAACGTTCAAAAATAAATATAGCTTCCAGAGACACGCATTTTTATATCATGAAGGCCATCAAAGGAAAGTTTTCCCATGTCCGGTGTGTGGTAAAGAATTCTCTCGTCCAGACAAAATGAAAAATCATATGAAAACAGTTCATGACTGTTTTATGCCCAAGGATTGCGTTATGCCGTTTGGTTTCTTTCTTCCTCAATAGAAGGACGAAATTGATTAAATAGTGAAACAAGGTGGAGAAGTATTGATAAAAAAAACATGCTCATCTGAGCTTGTGTTAATAATTCAAAAGCAATATTGGCAAGTGAACTAGGATATAGGTGATTAATTTATAGGGTTTTTTTGTTCCAAAGCGAACATAAATTGCACATACGATATGCATAGGGATGAAGGTCACAATTCATCATTATTATGAGTATTTTTCTTGCAACATCTTTATGAGTTTTTATAAATATTCTAACTTGACGATAACCTCTAAGTTGAGGAATGTTGATCCCATTACCAACCACAAAATAAGTTGAAGAAGAAGAAGAAGAAGAATATTAATAACATTACAAATTTCTTATAGTATACTTGTTTTTTCCTCCAAGTCTTTGTCCCCTTGAATACAAATTCCAATGGTGCGAAACGTTGAAAATTGACGTTAGCTAATTATATTAGATGCAACATGAAATACATTTAAATACCACAGATATAGTTTTTATATGATCATTCGAAGCTAGATTTATATAGTTATCTCATTTTTTGCTTAAGCAAAAAGAGCTAAATATTATGAAAAAGAGAGAAAGTTTATATTATGAATGTTCATTAAGGCGTTTCGTACTGCCCAGCAGTATTCGGTATTTGTACAGATTTCTTTCAGTAGTTTGTATTATAGGAGAAAGTGCTAAAATGCACAAAACATATTGATTAATAATTGTGTTAGTTTATCAGTAATGTAAATATTGCATTACTGAACAGCAACAATTATTAGTTACTAATATTTTTTATTGTTACTGTTTCTATATTGGCTACATTCATTATTATTATTATTATTAATTATTATTATCATCTTCATTCAACAATATTATCATCATCATTGTCATTATTATTATTATTATTATTATTATTTTATTATGAGGAATTAATATTATTAGATTATTAGAATCGTTTGATAAATATTGATTAATAATAAAAGAAAAGTTACAAATTATCATTTAATTGATACTTAAAATAAAATAGGAGACGCACGCACGCATGCCAAATCATGCAAATTGTTCTTCAACTTGTTTGCATATTTACAATTTATATAGAAACAAATTTATATTACAATAAAGTGGGCTGTTATATCTTTGATTAAAAATTTTATACCAGTTAAAAAATTTATTATTACTGATTAATAAAATTTCACAAAGTTATAAACATGATAAGTTAGGAAGGTAAAATGATTAAAAATATATTCTTGATAAAATTTTATATAAAAAAAATTACAAATTCGATTTATATGTAGACATATGGTCTTCCAAAAGATGTGTTATCCAATTGAGTACCTTCGAAAAACCAACGAATTATACGTCTTCCTTATTGGTTCAACATCATGATACTAGACTTGTAGTTATATTGCCCAATAAAAGAATGTAAAAATATTCAAAGAGTGTGTAGTTAATAATTATAAAAAATTATATATATATTCATATATATATTAATATACAAATTTTATATAAAAAATATATATTATAAATATTTATGTTGTCTCGTGCATGCGCGCGTCTTTTTGCACAAAAAAGTGCCTTTTTCTAATGTTCCTAAATGTCAATTATTACTAATAGATTGAGGAAAAAACATAGTTGTTTAATAACGAAAAAACAAAATGAAAAAAAAATTGATATAGAATGTGATTGTAAAGATAGATTAATGAATCTTTCCATAAGGAAAACAAGTTAAATTTCCATTATTTTATTCAGTAGTTTTCACGCACATTGGATGCACAATTTTTTTGTTCTTTATTTTCAATTTTTATAAATTTATTCGTTTATTCATACGTTTAACTTTTAAGTTTATAACGCATATAAAAATTATTATTATTACTACTATTATTATTATTACATTTACTATCTGCGATTAATATTAATGATATAAGATTTATTATTTTACTTATAAACAAATGATTATAACATCGGGTTCTAGTACGCGGTAGTTAAGCATTTAGGCTTTATTATTATTAAATAGATGAATAATACAAACGCACATATTATATATTTAGAAAATAAAAACATTAATTATGGCACATGATTATGAAATATCAAATATTATAATATACATGATGCAAATATTTTATTTAACGTTGATTTAAACAAAAAAATGTATAGTGATTCAAAAAGTGCAAGTTATACTTTTTTCTATAAACATTGCACTCCTCTAAGACTTTACATAATTAAATATCTTCCTTTACAATTATAGATTGAAAAAAAAAAAAAAAAATGTATTTATCGTCGAACGATTACTTTATTGTTCACTGATAGTGATTTGGTTTAACAAAAAAAATTTATCATCTTTTTTTTTTTTTCTTTATATATTTTCATTAAAAAACATTAATAAGTCGTTACAGTTTCAACGAATTTCATTCGTTGATTAGTCACGATAATTGTATTAACGTACTCAAAGTAATAAATATTTAGAGATTAGAGTGATATAATTGGATGCGAGAATAAAAAAAAAGAACATTATTGATGAAGTTTCAATAACTATTTGTTATTATTATTAATAAAATTATTATTGTAACTATTAATATTAATAGAAATAATTTTTGTGCGCACGTATTGTTCACTAATTCACCATCGCAACGACCGGGAAGATACAATAATTTAAACAAATTTAAATTATGAAAAATAGTATATTGCACTATTATAATCACTTAATTAAAAAAAAAAAAAGCAATGTTTATTTTAATTGACACGTAAAGCACTGAAATAAATTCTAATAATGTAAAAATAATAAAAAAATTAATGAATTGATATCCATCGTTAAAGGATGAGTATCGAAGACAAAAAAATCCATCGAGGTAGATGTTATATGGACGATTATCAGTTACAAGTAAAAAATTATATTAATTATATATAAATATATTTTATATATATTATATTATGTTATTTTATGTTGTACATCTACCATTGATGTAGTGGATGGACTTAAAAAGTTTAACAGCGGTTTATAAATAATAAAGAAACATAAATAATGAAATAAAAAAAAAAGAATACAATTATTATCGGTCGAAGCGTGATTTATGAAAGTAAATATGTATGTACTCGCGTACCTATGACTTTGGTGTCTAGTGGCGATTTGAAAAGATGAAAATTTATAATTATTATGTTTCCTTATTTGTTTTTATTTAATAGTAGATTCTTTGTAACTCTTTGTGATATACATTGCAATAGTCTACCCGACCGAGCGTTTTCTTGTATCTACGAGCACATCCTTCGTTTTAAAAAAAAAAATGAAACAATAATATACTTTAATGAATAATGAATTAAAAATTGGGTTATTGTCTATTATAAATCCCTTCATCATTTCCTCTTCTACTTCCTATCAATTTAAGCTTGTAATTAATCATTATTAATAACTATAACTTTTACTAACAAATCTTTTGCCTTTTCTCATCCATTATTCCAGATTTACTTCCAAACCTGCCATCAGACATAACTTTTGAAATTTGCACGTTGCCAACATGTCGAGAGGACACTTCTACAGATACTTCAAACGGTCCTGGAGTAATTAGCGACGGTGGTGGAGATGAAGGTGGTGATGATGGTGGTGGAGAAAATGGTGCTGGAGTTGAACCAAGTACCAACGGTTCTTTCATCAAAGCTGAGCGGATGGTTAGCGGTATTCACTTCCTTACAGATCAAGAAGATGACCGCAGTCCAGATCTATTGGTACCTAAGTCTGAAGCCAGTGATACCGAGCCGGAAGTGAGAAAACAGGTTGGTTGTATCACTACTACCAGCCGCAAACGTTGCGTTAGAATAAAATATTGGCGAATTTAACATAAATAATCATAACAAATATCACAGATAGAAATTTATCCAAAATTTTAATTTGGCTAAAATTTATTTATCATTTGTTCAATAAAAAATGATTCAAACAAACAGAAAAAAAAAGACGAACAAAATTTTTCTAAAACAGTCAAAACTTTTTTACAAAATTATTTTTTCTTTATTGGCTTCGTTCAACTTTTTATTTAAAAAAATGGAAGAAGGATTGAAGAGACATGAACACACTACCTACACGTGGACAAAGAGAAGTGTTGAATCCTAGAGAAAAAGAAAAAAATCAATAACGTTGTTTTACAAGCTGCTGGAATACCTCATTCAAAACGACGGTTCCGTCGTCTGCAAGTGGTGCGGTGAGGTGCTACCTTCACGAACGCGGTGGTATCGTCACAAGTACAAACTACATGTGTCTACCCAAGTGGCACAGCCAGCTCCACTTTTTAAATGTCACAGTTGCAACGCCTACTTCAAGTCTCGAAAGGGCTACATTGGTCACCTAAGCTCCAGGCATTCTGACAACGAGAATGACGAAAACAGAGAGGAGCTGACTAATAAGAAAACTAGAAGAACGTCTGACGTTTGTATTTTTTCTTATCAGTTTTAATTTATGAACCAGTTGTCTGAGAATTTTTTTCATTCTTTTCTAATCATACTTGACAACTGTTCATTTCATACATATTACATTAATGATTTGAGTATTTTATAAATTTTTCATTTAATTCGTGTTTCAAAATAAAACTTAATCTTTAATTCATTATTAATAATCTAGAATTCCTTATTTCTTAAGTAAATTACCTTGTACTTTCTTTTACAAATGAAATTAACACTAAATAATACATTGTAAGTTTTATCAATATCACTTAAAATTTTTCTAATCTTAAGTAAACATTTATCTATCACAGAATTTTTTTCTTCAAACCTGTCGCAATAAAATAAGAAAAAATACTTTCATTTACAATCTCGTTGCTACATTATGAAATAAATATCTGAAGTCCATTAAGTCTGAAATATTTACAAATATAATATGATTTTGTAGTTGATGATACTTTCTATTAATAATTAATCATCAAAACAAAACTTTCAATATTTAATATGAATTAGCTGTTTGTTATATACAAATTTTATTAATCTTCTTTTAAACATCGATAAAACATAATTCAATTTCTACTTAGCAAAATAGAATGTTCATTCATTATTTTTATTCATATTTTAAATTAGTTTCATTCTCTAAGTTATTAATTATATTCATTCTGATAACTGGATCTTATAAATAATATCGGTAATTTATGGAATCATTGGCTAATCATGATAATTTTCAGATGGGGAAAGGACCTGATTGGGAACAACAAAGAGAAAAAGAGGAAAAACTAGTAGCTGATATAATCGATAGAGTGAAAAGAGAATGCGAAGCTCAAGGGGAAACAGTATCACGGCGCGGTTATTCACGAAGATCCACTGTGATGAATAGCTAAGATTAGATTAAAACAATGAAGAATGTGCCAAAATTCATGTCTTCTATTTACTGAATGAAATAGTAAAGAAAAATTTTTAAAGAAATCTGGTATAGGTTTTAAAAGAGCTAAAATATTTAATTAAATGAAAAAATGTTTTTATGAAATGGTTGAGCTTGAATTTTGTATTGGATTGTAAATAAAAGTTTGAATTGATTAAATAATAATTCAAGTCTTAAAGAAAAGCGAATGAAACGCGCAAATTGCAAATTTCGAGATTGACTCGTTAATTCAGTGCCAAATGTAAATCTTTGAAAGACGTACATGAAAAATGATAATTTACAAAAGTAGATATTATATTATAGGTACCTTTATTGCATTGAAAAAAGTTATACGGATCGTTTAAATTACGAGACGAGCGATTATTTGCTCAAGTGCATAGTGATAAATAAAATGAATAATGAAAAAAATTGATCTGTACGCACGACTATAAACAAAAAAGAAATGTTTTTAAATAGTATTTAGTTTTCTTTGAAACAAGAAGTAATATTTTAGAATCAGGCACATTTGTGTCAATAGAAAAAAATGATAGATCACCTGAAAAATATTAACATTTTATTTATTATGGAATTAAAACAGCAAGAATAAGTGATGATTAACAATTGATTCTTGCTGATTATTCTGATCAAGTCTGTCCATTAATTCGAACGTTTTCGAAAGTATTTTGATCGCTGGGTTAAAGTATAATATAAAAAAAAACACCACGACTTCTGCAGATATCAAGGTTTTACAATGGTATATCTTATCTTACATACTCCTTGAAAGTGTCGCGGTGATGATACCCAGTTAATCACACTCATTGTAAATAAAATGTAATGTTAATATTAGTTAGTCAAGATCTTTGCTCATCGTGTAATGTCTTGTAATTTTACTTGTCTTTCATAATAACGGGGAAGAAAGATTATGAATTTTCATTAAGAAATACAATGAGCATTTCAATCGTCATGAAATATCAATTGCCAAAGGATGATCTTCCAAGTTATTAAATTAAGAAATTCAAAATTGATGAGCCAGTTTCATCATTCTGTGATTTATTTTATAATACTTCTATATATCTGCTCAACCAATGTTCAATCCAGTTGTGATTTTTAAAATTATAAATGTAGAATTGTAAACCAATAGGTTATTTTAAGTAATTATTTTTATTATTTATATTTTTGAAAGACTTTTTGCTGATAAAAGTATTAGTTATCGATTTTGAATTGATTAGCGGAAAAGTTTTAAAAAACCTTTACAATGTAAATAAAGTTACAAATCGAATTGATTTGACACAGATTTTAAATATAACAAGCTCTAAAGGTTACAGTTATCTTTATTTTTATTTTTTATGAGGGTATTTTCTTCTCGTAAAACTTGAATAAATAGGGACATGCTGAGAAATTGACTACTTTCATTTAAAAATTGGAATAGGGTGATTTATTTATTCTCTTGAGTGTAATAAATGTTCGACTTTTGGATGTTTCGGCCTATCTGTTTTTACGATCAAATCATTCTAGGCCAACTTATATTGTCAAGTCCTAATAGAAGTTGAAGTTCACTAGTTGTTACTACTATACAATGTCAATGGAAGGATGGGCCCAAACAGTATTGAGAACAAGTTTTTTTTTCTAATTTATAGGCCTAAACTTGAAGCTTAGAAACTCAAAAATATTTTAAGGAATCAATTTTTCGGTTCAAACTAATACTTTTTTTATCAGCAAAATCATAAAAAAGATAAAGTATAAAATTTTTTAACTCAAATATTGATAATTCATTTTTTATTCAAAATATAGTTTTTAAAGATAAATTAATTTTTTAAATATTGAATATTTATCGTATTTTGAGTAAAAGTAACTCTTAATACAAAAAAAAAAACTCCAAAACAGTTAAAACGCTCAAAAAATAAAAGAGGAAAGAGGAAAAAAAATTACAGTTAACTGGCTCTCAATTGTATTGAAACTTCCTATGTAAATCTTTTTTAATTCTTATTATAATAATAAATGGAGTAAAGTGAACGAGAATGGAAAAATGAAAATTGTATGGCTGACCTTTCCTCCATAATCGAATGTATAGTTCATAATGAAGAGTTGTTTTGAGAGAGAATGAAAAATAAAAAAGAAATGAAAATAAAATATTGATATATTAATATATTATATAAAAATATATATATATACACGGGAAAAATGAAATAGATATATGAAAATTCTATTTATTTGTCTACGATAATAACTCAGAAAACACGAGATAGATCAAAACATTCATGAGATATTATAACAACATACAAATTAACAATAATTGTTTACTGTACAGTAATATGTTTAAATTCTATTTATTAAGAAAAACAAAAAGAGGATGAATACTCAACAATAGTTGAAACAAAATGAAGGGAAAAATCACTTAAAAATATATAAATTTTAACAAAAATGACAAAGATACAAAATTGTAGAATGTACCTCTATAAAATGCTAATTGTCCAGGAGCATTTTCGAAGTGCGTCCAAGTCTTAATTAATTTTGTTAATCAAAACTTTGATGTGAAAATTTCGAAATTGTATGTGGTTAAGCAAATTTTAAAACTCAAAATCGAAAAATATTGTGCATTATAATATCGGAAATAAAATCAAAATTCAACGATCGATAATCTGTTTTTATTCAATATCCCATCCTCAATATATTTTTTATTTTTCAACATAACCAATTTGTTTGGCAAACTATGATTTAAAGTGTTATTAAAATCAAAATAAACAATTAATTAAGTTAAATTTAAATGTTTATGTAAAATAGAAAAGTTAATTGCATGCTTTATTTTTTTATTTTAATAATGAAATGAATAATTACATTAGATTCATTAATTTTTTTAATTTAATTAGGTTAATTATTGTTTTTATTATTTCATGGTTATCGAAAATAAATAATATCAATTATTGAGTTTAAATTTGATCGTTGTTTTACGAAAAAAGAAACTGCTACTTTTTAACGAAATTCCGATGTTGGATCTTTCGACAAACAAACTATAGCTTATTGTGCATCTATAGTGCATACAGACATATGTATAATTTGAATTATTTACGATCAGAGCACGTGGTTATAATTTTGAAACATTGATGAAAAATGGCCCAAGAATCAAATAATGTGGAATTTATGGAAGAAAGTTCATTTCAATATGATGAATTTATTTTGAATTTATTAATAAATGAACCGGATTCTCCATTATTAATAGCAGAGGTGAGTACAAAACATTCGATGTATATTTATCTCTAAATATTTTTATATGTATTAGACAATTCTTTAAAAAACATTGTTTCCTTCAACAGAAAGCTACATTGGAGAATGAAATTATTTCTAAAATTAATACTTACTTAAATAAAGCTGAAACGAGAATTGAAGGATTCAATATTATTTCCAATATTATATCTACATTTTCTAAAGATATCCTAACAAAATACAGCTTATTGTGGATTACAAAAATTACTCAAGTATTGGAAAGTGCCCACACTAATGATGATGAGTTGATGTTAACATGCCAAGTCTTAGGAAATTTATTGAAGCTCTGCAAAAAAATTCCTGAAGTTCAAAAAGAAATATCTCTTCATCATGTAAAACAATTAGTTTCAGTTATCACTCAAATAGATCCTACTGAAAAAGGATCTTTTATTTTTTACCCATTGGTTATTTTACTTTATTATTATAAAGAACCAACTGAAAAATTCCAGGTAATTCATTGATCATTGTTAATCAATTATTAAAGTAACTATTAAATTTTATTTTAAAATACTTTCATCTCCTTTTACAGACTTTAATAAATGATTTTATATTTCGTTGCATTGATTCTGAAGACGAAAATTTAGTTCAAGCAAGTGCCAATTGTTTTTCTGTGCTCAATAGAGCTATTAAAAAATCATTCAAAATTCCTTCCAGTTATTCATCTTATAATTGTTGGACTTACCATGAAAAGTTACTTTGTAATAGTCTACATTGTATAATTAATAATTTATTTTCTAATGTGTTGGATTTTGATGATGAAGATACAGATAATTCTTTAAAACTACCTGACTTACCTGAAGACAATATTTTTGAATTTCTATTTTTCATTGGAACAGCGATTTAAAAATTTGAGTATTTATTTATCAACAATGTTACGGTAATAATTTGTTTTTTTTTTCTATTGCGAGTATTTTTTTTTAATTCTTTAATAAACAATCAGTATTTTTTACAGAGGTTGTGGAGGCGAAAATTCTGTTGACTCTGATGATATCCTTAGATTATTATGTCGAGGATTAGCAATTACACCAGTTGTCTTACGTCAAAATGATTTGTTAAAAAATCAGTTCTTAGTTATTATTATACCAAAATTACATATCCAATTATTCCATATACTAGAAAGATTAATAGAAGGGTAAGTTTTAAAAAAAAACTTTTTCATTTACACATAATATTGAGAATTAATTTTTAAAAAATGTATTGGCAAAAGTTTTTCTTGCCATCTAATTCCAGCAGCCAAAGAGATTCTTAATCTTCACGTTCAAAGTTTAAAATGGATAAATGATTATGGTGAAAAACATACAACAATACATGGAATTAAACCTTTTCTAAATCTCAAAATCTGTGTCTATAAAAGTCTTTCACTATGGTTAAATACTCTTGGAAGAAAATCCGGAATTGAAATGATTTCTCATCATATATTTCCAATCATTTTTAAAGATATTACACCAGAAAAATGCCAAGTTTCATTAACAGTTAAGAATAATGAATCATCAAAAAAGAATTCAAAAAAATCACATAGCACTTATTTTGAAAAAAATCCTACGACTTCCAGTGATGAAAAATCCATAACCAATACAGATTTATGTATAAATGCATTATGTGTATTAAAAGACATGTTCTACAACACAGGACTTTTATTATCACCATCATTTTATGAAGTAAGTAATAAGTTGCTTATTTTTAACATAAAAGAGATGGAAATAATTATTAATTTAAATTTATGTTTACAGAAATCTCATAAAATGATTGTAAGTCTACTATATGATGTATATTTAGAAAATGAAGAAGGTAATCCTTATAAAACAAATGCAAAATGTCGACTAAATCTTATACAAGCTCTCAAAGGTATTCTAATGAATCCACATCCACATGTACCAACTCCCAGGACATATGCTGTTCAACTTTTCAATTTTGCTATAAAAGACGAAGAAATTTGTATACAAGAAGAAGCAAGAATTGGTTTAGCAGAGTTAGAAAAAATCATTCATCCAAGTGCACCAACTTTAGATTTGGTTTCTAAAAATCTTGCTTCATTATCTTTTAATAATGATAATTCTTTAGGTACAGAATTTAATTTAGAATCTTCAGAAAGTATGGCAATTACAGATAATAATTATGAGTAGTAAAAAAAATGACTGTAATTATCACGTGAATTATAAATATTTTTAATGCATTTTTATAAAGTATTTTTCTTTACCCAATAATTTGATATAATAATCTATTTATAACAAAAACAACCAGCTAATTATTGGAGTAGAAAAAATAAGTAATTTACTTTTGATCATCATTGAAAAGCAGTTTAGCTATTATTCTTTATAAAAATCATAACTCGAAAGAAAAACAAATCATGATCTTACTCTTATAGCTTTTTCATCAATAAATTAATTAAATACACTTTATTATTAACAGAAACAAATACTCATACTGCTCCAAAATGTTACAACGTGAATAATGTGTATTATTCAACACACTATTTTAACGGAGAATAATATTTAATAGATATTTATTTCTAAGATCGCTGACATAATTATTTTACTTATCATTTAAATAAAATCTCATGTACAGTGGTCACATTTGTGATTTTTAGGTTTATAATGTAACATAGAATTTAAATCTTGCTCACAATTTGAATATGCCATACCCAATCCAAAACCAGCACCAGTTATGATGGGCCATTTTCCTGTAAAAATTTGTTATTAATAACTGAATTTTCATTCAAAATCATGTTTAACAAAATGTATAACATGGACCTATTTTTCTACGATTTAAAAAGAAAGAAATCATAAATAATTGAAGTGGATTCAGGTATTAGTATTCATTTATTGCAATTGATTATGCAATAAATTTAATTAGATAAAATCTATAATACTTACTCCTAAAAAATAATAGTGAAAAAACGGATCCAATAACTATACCACCACCTGAAAAACGTGATAATGAAAATAACTATCATTGAAAATTTTGCGAAATCTTTGTAAAAATAAATGACTCCAAAAATACCAAGTTTAATGACAGCATCAGCAAAACATCGATCCCATTTTTTACCAATTTCATCTTCACCAAAATTACCAGCCATTTTTATTTTTATTAAAATATTTATGTCAGGGTTCGTTTCAATTGACTTGAACGAATGCAGCAAAGAAAGACATAATTCAACTTTGGATATAAATGAAATCCGCGATGATGTTTTTTGGTTAATCGAACTATGGTAAATACGCTTACAAATAGTGGGAAGAAAAGATACTAATTTATTTGGCACGTGTTTTACTATACATTATTTTTACAAACGCATGCGCCGTCAGAAAAAAATATATGTTATGTACCACCACCATTTTTTTCAGTACATTACAGCATTGACATTTACACGAATATTTTTATAAAAAATGATTAATATTCTTTCCAAAAATCTATAAATACGATTTTAAATTGAAAAAAAATTACAGTTTAACAGTTGAAAGAAAGAAAAGTAGTGTTGAAATAACTGAATCATAAAACGGAGAAAAATTAGCTAAGTTTATTCGTCATTATTTATTGTTTTTTTTTATTGAGGGGATGACAGCGCCTAGATTGTACTCCTATTTTTTTGCTATTAATTTCATATTTTAAATTTTTATAGAAAAATACTTTTTTATAAATCAATTGATAAACAATTGAAATAATTTTTTTTATATAATTAAGAAAAAAAGTCAAAAACTTAGCTTGAACAAAATTGGAACCGAATAGTGTCAATAATAATTATTCTATTTTTATACATACTTAGTTGATTGGTGTAAAACAATAGTTACTGAAAAGTGAAACGAAAAATAATTATGATACAATTGAAACAACACTCTCCAGTAGTGCGTTGGTCGGATATTTAAAAATTTTTCATCAGTGCTTATATACTATCTAAAAAAAAGAGATGTTTGATTGTATCAATGGAAAAAAAAATAAACGTAGACTACAACAAATATTATATGGTTTTTATTGGTACGAATGATGAAATAGTTTATCGATGGAATTGTGTCCAAAGTAATATCAATTAATTACTCTAAATTCATTAACCCAAAAAACACAGATAATTCGATAGTTTTATTGAGTTCATGAGAACTGAAAAAATGTATGGAACATTCATAGTCAATTACTTTGACAGACGTGAAATTCCATTTCAAATTAATTATCATCAAATTACCATGAGTAAAACGAAATTGACTTATTTGCTGAAATTATTTATTTACTTGGGACTATCATTAGTAATTATTAGTCTTTTACCATCAAGTAGGGCTTCAGAACCTTTACGAAATCCTTACCAAATATTAGGAGTAAATAGACGTGCTACTATTCAAGAAATAAGAAAAGCTTATAAAAATCTAGTTAAAGAATGGTACGTTTACAATCTTTCATTTTTTAGATTGATCTCTATTTTTATTAATGACAATGATTGATCATTTTATTGTGTTTATACTCATGATTATTTATTCCAGGCATCCAGACAAAACGGATCATCCAGCAGCAGAAAATAAATTTGTTGAAATAACAAAAGCTTATGAATTGCTATCTGATCCTGAAAGAAGGAGAAATTATGATAATCATGGCATAACTGAAGAAAATTCCGGAAGACAAAGACGTTCCACTAATTTCCAAATGCCTGATCCTCTAGAGGAATTATTCAGTGGAAATTTGAAATTTCATCATCAAAGTCGTGATGTTTCATTCTTTCACCGAATGAGTGTAACTTTTAGGTATGTTAATTAATAAAGTAATGTTTATGTATTTTCTTTTTATTTATTTTTGCTAAATACTGTTTATAATTATAATTTCTAGGGCATATGAGAATACAATAATTCCAAGGAGTTATCGCACCCCGCATTTAATATTATTTTATTATGAATGGTGCTTCACTTGTCTTCAAGTTGAACCGACTTGGCGACGGTTGATTGACGAATTAGAACCAATTGGAGTAAAATTAGTTACTGCTCATGCAGAACGAGAAGCAGCTTTCGCACGGAAAGTTGGTATTCACTCATTACCTTGTCTTGCGTTAACAATTGATGGTCGTACAAGTATTTATAAAGAATCACTATTCAATGTTCAAAAAATAGTCGGTAAGTACTATCTTTCAAACACAGTAATAATCTTAAAGCTGAAAATTTATTGAGTCTAACTTTTCTTAATATTTCTTTTGTAAAAAATCTCAAAACCTTTAAGCTTCTGATTATTATTCAATCATATTGAAAATAAATTATGCAACTATGTTAAGTTAGACTTGTTGTTAATTATAATTTTATTTATAGATTTTGTTCGTAATAAATTTCCATATAAATTAATTCAAACCATTAATGATGATAATATTGAGAAATTTTTGTCTGGTTGGGTGGATAATAAAATTCGTGCTTTAATATTTGAGAAAAGAGATTCACCGAGATTGAGATATTTACTTATTGCTTTCCATCATCGTGAACGAGTAGCATTTGGATTTGTTCAAGTAAGCTTCGATTTACATTAATTTAATTAATATCAATATTTTACATTAAATTCGTTATTCAATTTATTTATACAATAATCCAACTTACTCATAATTAAATTAAATTAATGTAAATTACAGATAGGAAAACCTGAAACTGAAACAATTTTGTTGAAGTACAAAATTCCGAAGGATTTAAATACTTTATTGTTATTCAATGAAAACTTTGAAAAGCCAATGGCATCAGTTAGCATGAAAGACATATCAAGTGAGACAATGCATAATGTGATTACAAATAACAATTTTCTAACTCTACCACGGCTATCGAATCAAGCAATGTTAGATTCTGTATGCCCACCTGAATGGTTACGTCCGCAGAAACGTCTATGTGCTATTTTAATTTCACAGAATAGTGCAATGCATGATTTAGCACGACACAAATTTCGTCAAGCAGCTATAGAATCACCTTACAGCCCTGAGCGTGTAAGATATACATACATTTTCAAAGAATCTCAGCCAGAATTTGTGGCAGCCTTAAGTGCAGGTGAAGGAAGTCCAATGGAGCCTTTGTTACACATCGTTATTATTTGGCGACGTGATGTTAATCACCTAAAATATGAATGGTTAACTAATGGGTGGCTCGAAGCGACTCAAGATGAAAGGAAATGGAACGAATCACGCAGAAATTTAGAAAAAACTCTTCAACGTTTATTACGACATACTGAAGCCTTGCCATATGCAGCGAAAATTGAAGAATTAGCTGATGAACATGCTCAAGGAACAGTCGATCGTCTTATTGGAAGAGCTCTTTTAGCAGTTGACTATATTTCTGATAATATTTCCAAAGAACAAATTCTTCCCTTTATTTCTGTAATAGCTACATTAATGTTAATTGGAGTTGCTGGTTACGGAATGTCTTACTTAAGTAAATTAGAAGAAATAAGTGTACAATCAAAACATGGACACGTTAAAGAAGGCCGAAAATCAACACAAAATCAACCACAATTAAAGTTACATGAGCTAAGAGCGGAAAAATATAATGGACTCGTTAGATTGTTGAAGCCAGGATGTCGAACGATAATATTATTAGTTGACTATCAAAGTAGACTGAAACTAATTCCAGCATTTCACCGAGCTGTTTGGCCTTATAGGTAACTTAATTGATGATTTCGTTATACATATTTTTGAAATTAATTTTATAATAATTTAATTAATATTATTATTTAGAAAAAATAAAACGTTGATGTTTGGCCACATGTTAGTTGAACGTGGGTTAGATTGGTATAAAGAATTATTATCATTAAGCTTGATAGAACCAAAGGACTTGAATATTAATCCTAAAAATTGTGTTGGGACTGTACTGGCTTTGAACGGACATCGAAAATATTTTTGTATGTATCATGCCAAACATCCTGAATCTAACAAAGATAAAGGTTCAAAGGTAAGGGTTGCAAGAACACTATAATAATTAAAGGAATTAAATGAATATAACATTATTTTACTCTAAAATAAATATTTGATCTAGCGTATGGAGCGTATTACGAAACATTTTAGTCGTCAATCAAATGATCCAGAAGCCGGAGCATTTATAGGATTTGATAGTTCAAGTGATTCTGAAGTGTCTCAAGATGAGGTAACTTAACGATCATGTAATTTAAAAACTAAATCGATATATGCTTATATAGCTAATTTATTTTCATATAAATTTAATATAAAAATTACAATTAAATTCACATGTACCTATTAATAATTACAGATGCCAAATGGTGTTCTATATCAAGACAGGCTTTTGGATGGACTACCAAATTGGTTAGATAGACTTTTTGAAGGTTCAACTCAACGTTATCATATAAACTATTGGCCCGATTTCACTGCTAAATAATGTATAACTTAATAGGTATTAATAATTAGTCACATATTCTACGGTATTACAATATGTAAGTATAAACTTGATTGTCCAAAAAAAATCAGGTATCTCATTTAATCTAGTCATTAAATTAAAGTGCTATTAGTAATATTTAATTACTACAACTGTTATTAATTGAATACAATCCAATTAAAGAATGCAATAAACACAAATTAACATAATAAACATACATATTCGTTTATTAAAAAATTATCGATAAATTGGTTGAGAATAAATAATAATCACCGTTTTGCATGTGTATAAAGTATGTCTTGAAATAGTATTCTAAATTGCTAATAATATCAGTTATAAAAATAGCCTGCTATAATAATAAATCATTATTGAGTAATTTACGCGTCAGATGATTTCTTTGTTATCATATAATTACATTGTACATATTACTGGTGACATTGCAAAATTTTGTGAATATTATTAACGATGTATACCGAAATTGATCGATTAATCTTGTACGACTAAATACATGAATACTAGTCATTTAATCGTCAATATATACACAAACATAAAAGTTAGCTGCCAAGTAATAATTATTACTTATGAATAATAATAATAAACATAATATTGATAATAATATATTGATTTTTTATATCAACTATGTTGATTTTTACTACTATTTGCTTCAGCTTGAAATTAGTTTATAACATACCTAATATGTATTGAAAATAGAGTACTAAATTTTAGTAATTAATAGGCAAATTGAAAAAAAGAAAAAGATTTTTTTAAAGCTTGAAAGTTTTCACATTTTCTTACAAATAATTAAAGATAAAAAATGGTGAATTAGAAAGATATTATATAAAATATGGCATTTTTAACTGTAAAAAAACTTTTTTAATAATTTTTCGATGGTTGAAAAGGAACTGTTTATATAACAATAAATAATAACTGTATACCGAACTCTCAAAATATCATACATTACATTTTAAGAAATTTGTATCATCTCAAAGTATCTCTATGTATTGAAACTTTTTTAAGCTTATCAAGTTGCACAAATAAATCTTTGAGAGTCTATAATAATATCAAGTAATGTATTAAATAAAAAATTAAGAGCTTTTACGTATAAATTCAAGTTGAAGTTTTAGATAGTTTATCATATAGATTAATATTCCTATCAACTGTTCTATACATAAAAATAATCAAAACTTTGTGAAACCGTTTTCTCATAGATTTTTAAGTGTATTATTTATTATAAACAATGTTTTTAATTATTTGATTTTAGCATGATTTACCACATAAGACAAATAAATTAAACGTTTGAATAAAAATCTACCACTGTAGACAAAAAAATTTGAAAATTATAAAGAATTTTTTAATTATTTATACTCCTCTTCTTTTATGCTTATTCTTCATCAGAAAATACTGTTAATTATTAATAAAAGTATGAAAAGGTATTTGGCTATAGAAGAAAAACATCAATGGAATAAATGTAGGCAATTATTATATTTTAAAAAATAAAGTAATTATTATCGTGATACAGTTACTTTTTTTGTTTCTTTTTTTCGGCTTCGGCTTCTTTCTCTTTTTCAATTTCTGTTACATATTCACCAATAGTATCAACATCTAACATTTCCATTGGTTTTCCACGACGCATAATTGCTATTTCTAAATTCTTTTGTCCAGATGTAACGACTTCGAGTAACGCTCGAATAGCAAGTTTTATTGAACCTCGTTCAGTTGCTACTTCTTCTGGAGTGTAATATTTTTCTAGAAATTCTTTGACTGTTTTAGCGGCACGTCCTGTTGCATTAGCCTAAAACAATGTATACAATACATTAATTAATAACATTTAGGAATTAATAAATAATAGTAGTTGTGGAGGAAACGTTCCACAATGATTTATAAATTAACTGCCTGCAACTTACTTTCCATTCGTGATAAATGCCGGATGGTTCTGTTTGGTATAAATGTGGTGTTCCATCATAATCAAACCCTGCTAGAAGACAAGATATACCAAAAGGTCTTCTACCATTACTTTGAGTGTATTTTTGTTTCAAGCTTGCAATGTAACGAGTAATATACTCGAGTGTAACAGGATCTTCAACGGTTAATTTATGACTCTGACATTCAATTTGAGCTCGATTAATGAGTACCCTAGCATCAGCAGTAAGACCTTTAATAATCAAATATTAACATTAAAATGAGATTGATTATTTATCGATTTTTGAAGTAAACAAAACTAACCAGCAAATGCCATAACTACATGATCATCGAGAAGACAAATTTTTCGTACTGTACGTTCTTCTTGTAATTTAGCGACTGACTTTTTCTCCACGCCAAGTACTACAACGTCATTGCCGCGAACACTAACCTGTAATAAAAATGAAAACTGTAAATAACGATTGTATTTTGTGATGAACTAAAATTATCACGATATTTAAATGGATGTAGAAGCAAAACATTGATAAAAATGATAAAATTTCTATGTCAAATAACATTTTTTTATTCAAAGTCGAATTTATTATCATAGCATTGAATGGAGTATGAATTGGAGATTTACCGCTGTGGATCCTTTTCGTACAGCTTCTTGAGCATATTCAACTTGGAGTAAATGACCATCAGGTGAAAATACTGTAATTGCACGATCATACCTTGCTGACATTTTTATTTATTTAAAAAAGTTCTTTTGTTGTATCTAATTCGGTTGTTGAACTGTGTATTTATGACTTGACTGTTTTCAATCGGCACTCTAGTGCAGTCCAATTTCGCGTGTCAACTTGAATATAGATGTAAGCGCGAGAACAGCGACTATATTCAATGAATAATGATAGAGCTAAAATTTCTCGTATGACTATTGCAAATGTCTGGTTATATATATATGTACCAAACTAATAAACCAAAAATTGATATTTAAAATTCGAAAAATTAATTGTTTCTGTTTTGTTTATTCTACAAAAAAACTACTTTATTTTCAAAACAAGCGAAATATTTTACATTTTATTACTTTCAGATTGCTGTTGATGTACAGTATATTTTGATACATAAGTATCGATAATGCTGAAATCTTGATCACTATCTAATGAGAATTTATCAACTATTACAGAATGTTTGTATTGATCATTATCACCAAAACTTACATTACTACATGTGAGTAAAATGCCGCGCCATAATGTAATCATGCAAAGTATTGTGATGCATAATTTTTTATATTTTCTTTTATGTAAAACCAAAAGTTATTGTTGGAATTGAGGATGATTATGAACTACAGCTACAAAAAAATGGTTACAGATAATACTTCAAAACACCATATTTCTAAAAGTAATGACTACTTTGTCCAAAAGAAGGCATTCAAAAATATCGTTACATGAGATGGGGGAAAAAGAGGAAAACAACAAATCAGGTAAAAATAACAGAAGTTCTTTGAAACAAAAAAAAAGAACTCTTTTAGTTTCTTTCCTTTAGTTGTGACTTTTATTTATTATTCTTATTTTGATTAAATATTTTTTTTTGATCAACATTTTCATATTTAAATATATGTTAAAAAATTAAAGCAATGTCTGTAACTTAGGCATGTGGAGTAAGGAAAAAGGAGGCTAGGTGCGAGGAGGGTATTATATTTTAAATCTCGGTCAAAATGTTTAAAAATAATAATATTAGTATTTATAAATAGTAATATTAATTAACGTTTTAAATCAAACATCTTTTACGATCCAAGGTTTGTTGATGATTCTGTGAACTGACACGTAAGGCATTTCTACAGTTACAGTTAACAAGTAAGCAAAGAAATACGTCATTACTGCGAATCCAATCGTAGAAATCATCTAAAAAAATGCATGTGTCATAATGAGACTATTTTCAGAATTATTATAAAATTAAAAGTATTGGTAATTATTACTCAAGTTTATACTTACAAGGGAAGGAATATCTATATGATTTGGAGTTTCACTTATCAGATGCACTACGTTTATGATAACAGGGTTGAGTAGATATGCACAATAAGTCATATTTCCAAGTGGTTTTAGAATTTTAGAAGAAAGTATTTCATTAGTTAATCCTGCAAACAAATTTACTTCAATTTATTATTAACACAATCAATCAATTTAAAAGTAAATAAGTTTCTTTTATACAATAATGAAACAATCATTTCAGAATGGGTTCAAAAAACATCCAAGCTTACACACTTTTACAACTTTGATAGAAGATGATAGATAAGATCCTAAATATAATTTTATTTGGTCATACCAACAGTTATCTTCATAATTGTAGAAATAGAAGTTTATACTTACTCGCATTGTTAGTTTGACATGCAATCAGGAGCCAACCGATACCAATTGCCCATATTGTTTTACTCAAAGCAAGATAAATTGCTGTTAATGTGATAGATTTAATTCCACTAGAGCTACTCACAAGAACTGTTGATAAACATATACAACTGATAATCCAAAGTAACCATGATGTCCTCTGAAATAAAAACAAAATGTTAATGCCATTTTAGATATTGCAATTAAAATTTTGAATATAAAAGCAATACTTTAGAGATATTTAGTTTGTCTTTCGTTCGTTGATAAAAATATCCAGCAATGATTCCAATAATATAGGGTGCAATTCGTGTCCAAGGTGGAAAATAATGAATGTCAGCTTTGAACCAGAAATCATCTAATCTACGAATGCAGAATAAAGTCATGTTTTATGAAATGCAAAATAATAAATTTAGGAAATATTTCAATGCTGGATAAATAATTGAAATATTCCTACACTTACGTATAACTCAAATTATTAATATATGAAATATATCCAGATAATAGAATTGATGCTCCCAAAAGAGAGAATAATATGAAACAAGATGATTTGAAGTACCTGAAATCATATTTTTATTGCTAATTAATTCTAAATTATATTTACATTATATGAAGGATAATTAGTATTCATTTCAAAAATTATTGAATCAAAAATATACACATGACTTACGTATCAGATAAAAGTAGAAGAATCTGAGCTACAATATAAAATTGCATGTCATTAGATAAATACCAGCTCCAACTCATGCACTAAAAAATAAATTAAAATAGTTTTCACTCAGCCATAAACTTATTTTTAAATTTCTAGGAAATATGATTCTTTTCTTAGCGATTTTGTTTGACTTTGATAATATAAAGTCTTGTTGCAAAGACTTATCGTTGGATGTAATATAAAACATAGATTCAAAGAAATGAAATATTGAAAGAAATATTTTGCCACAAGAATTGTTTGACATGATAAAAATAGTTAAATATTTTTTATTACCATTGATTTTAATCCAAAAAAATTGTGAATATATAATAAATTTCTCCACCAGTACTTGGAACAATTATCTGGTGAATCATATGAAATGAATATCGAATTAGCTGTAGCCCACGTAAAACTCAATTGAGTGATACATATCATTACCAAATAGACAGGTGTCAGTCTATAAAAAGAAAAAAATTGCGAAGAATTTATTTTTATTTAAAATCAAATGAAAATTTTCTACCTTATGATTCTTTTAATAAATCGATCGAAAAAAGTTGACATGGCTGATTTTATTTCAGTGCTTTGTTGTTTCTCTTTTTGACGAGTTTTAAAATGCAACCATGCTGATAAAAATCCACTCAAGAAAAAAAATGTATCCACTACAAAAAATGCTAGGACTCGCGATGATCCGATCATAAGATTTTCAAGTAATCTCCACAACCACATTTCATTGTCAGCAAAACTAAGACCATAATATCCTACGTGTAAGTAAATCAAAACTATCATTCCAATGAATCTTAACCCATTCATAGCTTCGATAGAATCGGAATCAGTTTTAATATTGAAAAGTTTTTTTGAATTTGTGTAGGCAGAAAGACACAAAAGAATTTCTTGAGATTTCGTTAATGAATTTGTTTTGATCATTTCTGAAAATATAATTATTAACTCATTAATATTAGCATAAAAAATTAATATAAAAGTTTTATTGTCTACAAAAGACATTTTTATATGAAAAATTATTCAAATGTAAAATTTTATTTTTTTTTAGCACCATAAAAATTTTTTTTAGAAAATGTTCATTTTAATTTGTTAAAACACCCTCGAGGTTTAAAACTTATTACTGCAGTGGTTTGCGTTGATATTAAGACATCCAAAAAAAATTCATTTTAACGAGTCAAACTTTCTTAATAATTACAAGAAAATATTTTTTAAATTGAGTGGAATTCTAAAAATGAATGAATATTTTACATCAAAATTATTTTTCAAAGCAATTTAATTTGCAAATATTTTTTCAAAATAGATTACATAAAAATATTGATTACTCTTGTTTTAGAGCTGATGCAAATATTGATTTAAATTGATAATTCCATTGAAGAGGAGAAATGTAATTAATAGATGATAAAATTACCTATTTCAGATGTAGGCACAAAATCCCTTGACTTTACTTTTAGACGATTTAATTGTTTTTGATGAATAAATACATCATATCCAGTAGCAATAAATGACATTACGAATACTGCCACCAAAACGAATCTGAAATTAATCTATATTTAAAATAATTACCATTTTACTTGCATTTTCAAAATGAATTTTGAGTTATTGAAGTAACGTAGAATACTGTCTCTGTACTCAGAATATTGAGTAAAAAAATTACTAGCAAGTCTTTAGCAACAAAAGCAATAACTACTTCTCCTTTTTGAAGAAAACTCCACATATAATGATATAAAAAATTCAAATTTAAATTTATTCATAACAAATACTTTTATCTTTGCTTTGTTTTTATCATAAACAGCAAAATTTATTAGCTTTAAGTAAACCACGTGCTCAATGTAAGACATAACTTAGCTTAGCTGTCTAAATTGCTGTTTATTTAGAGTAAGGTGATGATTAGAACTCTACAAGGCATTGTATACTTGTTTCTAGGACAAATTGAACTTTACGTAAGTAAATTTATGACTTACACTTTGATGTTTAAATTTCCTTATCATAACTAAAAATGTACAAGCTTCAAAATTATTATTTGGTTGGTTTACTTACATTACAGCTATTATATGCCAATCTAATGCCCATTCGTAATTGTCCTTTAGATCCAGCACATTGAGTAATTTAAATCCACTAGGGTAGATTTTATTTACCGTAAACTGTCTCTCATGAATCATTTTCTCCATGATTGTACCCAATTCTTGTTTGGTACATGATGCAGGCAAACAAAGTCCTAAAAATAAAATGTCCTGACCAATTTATTAAAAATAAATCTTTTATTTATTTAAAGGAATATTAAAATCAAATTTTATTTACTTCATGATTCATTCGAAAATGATATTGGATCGTACTATTATGTTGAAAACGTGCTACAAAATAATTCACTTCGAATGGAGGAAATTCATCATCAGGATTTCGATAGATGCTGTTATTTTGTTGCCAATGTGGTGCTATTTCTAATGAATTATGATTATTTAAATCAATACATTGTCTTTGGTAACCGAGCCAATAATTGTTGCCATAAATGAAACCAGCACTTGGTTCACCACTGGAATCTAAAACTAATTTTAAAAAATTTCAATTTTTATTCATGAATAGTCAAGTTATGATTTTAACGAAAAATAAGTGAATTCATTAATAATAAATTTATTTCAATAGAATACTCTTTAAACTCCATAATTTTTCATCCTTCAATCCCTGTTGGAGGAAATTTATTTCATTTCTACATCCACTCGATTCTTCCAAAATATTTGAAAAAAATATAATTGAGTAAATTGGTAAAAATTTATTTTCATTCGGAGGAAGATTAATTGTCACTGTTCGATTAATAAATATTAAAAAACTTCCTAATATCATATAAAAAATCTTTTCAATTTTCATATTTATATATTGTGAAAATAATTTTAATAATTTCTTATTTATTTATTTTTCACATGAATTAATGACGTAAGATATTTTTCAATACTTTTGTTAATTAACTTTTTAGAAAAAGATTGATAACGAAAGAAATTAACAGTTGTCTATTTAGCAATCTTACTAAAGGTTGCTTCAACACGAAGTTTAAAGTCAAACTCAAAACAAGTTAGCAGGTAAAGTTGAAAAAGTACGATGAAGGCCATAAAAACTTCAAAAGATTAACAAAACATGATAAGAGGGTATAGTTTACAGCGAATAAAACGTAACAATGTATAATAATGTGTGTTTTATGCTAATTCTATTTTATGTTTTATAAGTGTTAATTTGTCTTCTCTTCATGTGAAGTTAATGAAAAAAATTTATTAGGCTAACAGCAATTATTTTTATTGCATATGAAAATTTTTAATTCTGATTATATAGACTGCTAACCTTTGTAATGTTTTTCAATGACAATAATTATTTTTATTAAATAATCTTTGGGAAGAAAAAAATTGTATGGTGTCAAGTTCTAGAGTAGAAAATTCAATAATGAGTTTTTATATTTCTATCAGATTGAAGAGAAAATTTTCTTGCAGTTCTTTATAATAATTTATATTTATTTTGAATTAGATCAATGATTAGTTTTTCACTTTGAAAATTAACTATTGTTTTTTTTTAAGATTGCAATTTTTTTGACTCGAATACTACACAAATAGAATAATTTTATTTCTGATCTCCTGTTATTTTTCACTCGATTTTTATTCTTTATATAAATCTCAACTGTAGTATATTTACTTCAATAAAGTAATTTATATCGAACGACTACAAATCGAGTAAAAGATCAAGTTAGACATTTTTAAATCGACTTTTTCGGAAATTTATTTCAAAATAATTGATGATAACAATACATCCTAGTTATCTTCTTTTGAATTCTGACAATTGACTGTCGTTAACATTTATAGGTAATATTATCTTATGTCGGTAACTCAATTTATAAGACAAAAGATGGCTTTAGTGTCTATAACCCCAAAACATCAAACATGGAGTAAACACTTCGTTTTATGTAAACTAAGAAGTGTCACAAGTTAAAATAATTCAATATTATTTATTTTTTGTGCTATTTTTCCAACAATGTAAAATAAAATAACTAGTACTTGTTCATTTTCTATATCCAAATGATATTAATCAATCATTAAGCAATAAATATGACGCCAAAACGAAAGGTAACAAATTTTTTTTATTATATCTTATGTGTATTTGCATCTCTTTAATACAATTTTTAATTTATTGTTATATTTATAGACGACTAGTTCTGAGTCAACATCGTCAAGTAGCTCAGGTTCTAGTTCCAGTAGTTCATCTAGTTCTGGAAGTGAATCAAGTTCTTCTGATTCTGAAAATTCTAGTAGTTCTGCACGTAGTCCAAAAGTATCAGATTCTGAAAAAAATAAAAAGAAGCAATCAATTCCTGTAAATAGACATGTTAAAACAAAAGCAGAAACGAATATTGCTACAGCTTCTGATAATAAAAACAAAGAGAAAACTCCACAGAAGTCAAGATCGACTATTTATTCATCAGAATCTGAAGAAACACCAACAAAATCTAAACCTACAGCTAAAAGAAAACCTCCAGCGAAACCAAAAGCCACTGCCACTGTAGCACCAGTAGTTAAAGCTCAGAGACCTGTTGGTAAAGCGACTCCAGCTCCAGTTCAAAACAAAAATGCGGCATTAGTATCAAAATTAATTCATAATAAACAAAATAAAGCTGCTGTGAACGTTGGAGTTGGTAACAAAGTACCAGAAAAAGCATCAGTAAAACTTCCAGTTGAATCTACACAGAAAAAGATTAAGAAAAAAAGTATTTTTAGTCCTGAAAATAGTAGTGAGAGTGATAGTCCACCTTCTAAGACAAGTGGAAAAACGGCCAGTAATGTTACAAGATCTAAACCTCCACCTAAGCCAAAGCCGGTGAATGAACCTAAACCAAGACCACCTATTAATAGGCCGAGTATGTATTAAAATCAAAATTCTGTTATTCATTATAAGAATTTTTTCACAATTTTCTAAAGTATTGATAGTAATTTAGATTATTTTAAATTTTAGGTTTAATTACTAGACAACAAACAAAATCTGAAAGTTCAGCAAGTTCTAAGAGTTGTTCAGGAGGTTCTGGTGGATCTGAATCATCTGGATCTTCAGATAGTAGTTCAGATTCTGATTCATCAGAAAGTGCCCCGAGTCCACCACCAGTAAAAAAGAAAGAAACTCATTTATCTTCTGCAACAAACTCAACGCCCAAACGACCATCAGTTGCTGTGGCAGCAGTAAAACCGCAAAAAAATTTAAAAAGGCCAGGTAAGCTTAATAGATTGCTGAAAAATTTAAAAATTAAATAAGTGTTGAAATATGTTGTGTTTTTTTTTGTAGTGATTAAAAGTGAAGAAGATGCTTCAGACAGTGAAAAAGATGATGAGGAACCTGTTGGTCGTACTTCACTCAGTACTTCTCCGAAGGGAAAGAAAAAAATACAACCACGGAAAGGTAGTAAATTACTTCAGTCACAGATAAAAGTTAAAAGTGATTCTGAATCAGATACAGGTAAAAATTATTTTCGTAACACTGGGCAACAAAAAATCATTTTTTTCGCACTGGTTCGTAGCTCTTTGATCTTAAAGTGATCTAATATTCTACTAGTTTTTTAATAAACAATGATTAAGTCAGGTTTTTAAAAAACGTACTGAATAATGAATATAAATTTTTTAATCTATGAATTGCATCAATTATATTCACCCTTGAAATGTGTATAGTCATTGTGAATGAATTTGTTTCCATGACTAGAATATTATTCATTCAAACTTACAACTCAAGATATAAATAATTTTTACAAAAGATTTTAATTCTTGATAGTGCAATGCATTCATAACGAATCAAAGAAATTAAAGATGCTATAAGCATCAAGTGAAAAAAAAAGCACAATCACTAATAATGATCATCTTTATTCTGTGATGAAATCAATTTTATTTAAAATGTTGATGGAATTAATAAACTTATCGAGTACTTTATAAATGGAATCAATAATACGTAACATAAAAATTTGACTATTTTTTTATATAAAGCTTTTTTTTTGAAGTACCAAGCCAAAGTAAATATCTTTGTTGTCCAGTAAAATTGTTAATTTTAATTGATTTAAATGAAATACATAAGGGTTATTTTTTCCAACAGCTGAAGTAAAACGGAGCTCTAGTAAATCTCCGGTTAAACGAGTTGTAGCTCGACAGCCCTCAGCAGTATCAAGAGTTAATCATGGAGGAACTGGCGGTGGAACAGGTGGAAGAAGTAGCCAAAATTCTTTATCAAAATCTCGCAGTGTCAAGGAACGAGAATGTCCTCTAGCAGTTTCTTGTGATTCTCAAGGTCATCTTTCTGGAAAATTTGATACTCACTTCACACTTGATGCCTGTCCTTTGTACCATAATACAACTTCACAAGCTTGTGTGTAAGTTTTTTATAAATTCTTTCTCTTATTGCACTTCATGAATGCTTATCTCGTGAATAAAAGTACAAATTTCACGCAGGGAATTTTATAAAGAACGAAAGAAGCGTGAAGAGGATAGAAAAAAAGCCATGACGAATATGGGGAAAAAATCACCAAAAGGAATGCACCAGACAAATGAGCAGAGAAATTATCAACTGAAAGTTAAAGAATTACGAAATAAATGGAAGCGTCCTAATGGCGATGGCAATGACAGTGATAGTGGAGGTGAAGCACCTGGAATTGAAAAGGATCGACAACCGCGTTTGACAGGGCTTACTTCTGATTATGATTTAAAACTTTTCATGGAAGCTCAAGCCATTGCCAGCGAAAAAATAGTGAATATATTTGTCTTATCTACACTAAAATAGTGCCAGTATTCAAATGACTGCTATAAGAATTAATTTGAGTGGAAAAGAATGATAATAGACATGTAGCAATTCCATTTTTACATTTTAATTACATAATGATTCATAAGTTATATACACGAAAATGCGATAATGAACATTCTTCCTCATTACCTCTTTTTTAAATTACACTCCATTAAATTTTTTCTAATAGCAGTACACCTTTAGTAAATTCCATTGCATTCTAAAAATATTTAAATGACTTAATTTATAAATTTTTACATGGAATGGTTTTTGTTTCATTTAAAGGAGAAAGAATTGAAAGATCTACATTACGATGGAGAAGGAAGAAACGCTGGTGGAACTAAGTGTGTAGAAATGGGCAAATGGGAAATGGAAGTTTGGTATCAAAGTCCATACCCTGAGGAATTTAGCCGAGCACCAAAACTTTATCTCTGTGAATATTGTTTAAGGTATGCAAAAAGTAGACAAGTATTGAGAAGGCATCGAGAAAAGTGTGTTTGGAGACATCCTCCTGGTCATGAAGTTTATAGGTCAGTTTTTGTTTTTGTTTGAGTCAATGTCTATTTTGATTTAACTTACTTAACTAATTAATGGAATGTGTCAACTAACAGGAAGGATAAAATAGGAGTGTGGGAAGTTGATGGAAAACGTTACAAGCAATATTGTCAGAATCTTTGCCTTCTTGCAAAATTTTTTCTCGATCATAAGACTTTGTACTACGACGTGGAACCTTTCCTCTTTTACGTGATGACGATCAATGACTCTGAGGGCTGTCACACTGTTGGATACTTCAGTAAGGTAAGCAGACCATCAATATTTAGCTTGTATAAGCTGCCAACGTTAACATGAACTTCCACTATCGATCTTGGTTTTGTAAGCCGTTTACTGGTGGATTATCGGTTACATCGGAGCCCTCACCATTACTATAGTGGCAAATATAAAATGTAGGGAGAGGTTATTGGCGGATAGGGGCTTGCAGGGAGTGGCTCTGTGGTCTGCAATGTCACTGCGAATGGATGCTGTGCTTCTATAGTCCCAGGTGCATGCGCCTTTATCACTAGATCAAAATCACCAACGAAAATTAATGTATTGTCAAACTGGGAATCATAATTTATATCTTTTGCATTCCGATGCCGTGCTTTAGTCACCAAAAATGATGAATAACAAGACAGAGGTTAAGGTTGTAATTGAAGACTAAAATAACTGAAAGAGTTGAATGTATTAATTATTAATAAGTAGGTCTGGCTTTGAATTTAGTAAAAGGATAAAACATGACCTAGCCCTTCAGACATCTATAAAGTTTTCAAAGCAAAGAGAATGCGGTAATATTGTAAGCTACCACAAAAAAGGATGTCTTTTCTTTAGCGATTGTATTTTTTATTTTACTGTGGAAACTCTTGGCAGCCGTTGTTTTTCAAAGAAAATAAAGGACGAAAGAACAATCCGAATGAGTTGAAGAGGGAGTTGTCCATCGTTCCTCTTGATAGTCGCTGCAGTGGTCGTTTCCTGCAGCATTGTCGAGTCAAAATCTTTATCGACGTTCAACGACCCCGACCCTGGCTAGACGGTTGAGCCAACGTTGAGGGTGGCCGGGCGCAGGATACGCAGAGAGTGTGTACGATTCGTAGTGAAGTGAGAGAGATAGCAAACATTGCGTTGCCGTATGGACTCGCGCGACGGCGCGGCTTCCATGAGGAGAGGGTGAGGAACGAGATAGAGGGATGAAGAAGGAGGGTATCCCTTGCCGGAGGACGAAGAGAGGGCGTCGCCTCGCGTCGGGTCGTCAACCTCTCTGCAGCACTGCGACGTCGGGGTCGTTATTATTTCCTCCTCTCGCCTCCTCACTTGCTTTCGTTCCCTCTCGCTTCTTCCCTCTTTTCCTCACTCTTCCTCATTCTACCTCAGCATCACCATCACAGTAAGAGGGTAGCTTAAATCGCACCGTCGGCGCCACCTTTTTCCCTGGAAACCTTCTCTACCATCCACCCTTTTCTCTCGCATTCTTTACCACCAAGTGAGAAAATTCTATCCTGCAAAAAATCGTTTGTTAAATTCCACCAGTTTCAGTCACTATGTGGTCAACCACTGCAGCTAGAAAATTCTTCAAGTTATTCCATTCCATGTGAAATATTTCAACAGTAACCAGACTCACCGAAAAAAATCAATTAGCACTGTAGAAAGAAGAAGAATAATTAAAATGACTAAACAATTTCGTTTTTTGTCTTAACGTACAACATGAGATGGAATTTTTTTCCAACCAAAATCTTCTCTTTTTGTAAACATTTTTGTTCCTTCGAAGCTTCTTGTTTCAAAAAAAGTAAATTATCTTTTTATCTTGTATCGTTATGTGTACATAAGCTGAGACTATTTTCTTTACTAACAAACTCTCAAAAGTTTCATTTAATATTTTTATAGTTTACCCAACTATTTAAATACTTAATAATAAAGTTTAATTAATACATGACCTTGAAATCATAATAGTTATACTTTTTTATATTTTAAGAAGAATTTTGATAAAAAAAGGAAAATGAATTGAAAAGTTAAACGAAAGAAGGGATTTGAATGTAAAAATAATCAAGATAATGTGATCTTGATGAATCAAGTAGCATAAGTGAAGGAGAAGAAAATGAATTAAATTGGTTATTTTTTATCATGATAAAGCTTATTTAAAAACAAAGAAAAATCCATGGACATTTTGGAGTTTAGGGTCCAGATAATCTAACGACTGTACTCATACCCCGTTGAAAGGATAAACGAGACAGAGAAATAATAAATAGAAGGGGATTACGTTGCCCCTTAGAAGTAACTCCCTGTTCAGAAGGACAAGAAGGACGGCTTTATGCCAGACAGAGTCTGAGACCCGGGCAAGGAAAAGGGAAAAGGCTAGACGTTGGTAGCAAGGGTTGGGCAATTTCCTTTAAAAATACCCGCAGACGCACAGAGGGTGAGTAGCGAGACGGTGAAAGAGAGGATTCAGGCAACAGAACCGCGAGAAGGCAAAGGAAGGACTGAAAGAGGGATGGAGCCAGTTTGGAAAGAGTCAGGGTAAGTGAGAGGGTGAAATAGCGAGGTCGTCGATACGATACGGCTGTGCTCTCTACTCGACGAGAGGTTGGGGTAGGCTCGCCAGTTCTCAACCCCTGCGTACGCTCCGACTGGGCACGATCGATGCCAGACAGACCTGTTCACACTATCAAATCCTGCAGAATACAACGCCCATTGCTACTTTCTCTTCAGCTTTGGCGTAATAGTCGTGAAATAAGTGAATCCCTTGGTTTGCTTCTCATCTAGACGGTTCCCTTGAGGCAGACAAACCTTTCATCTTCCTCAAAAATGAGTAAAGGCTTCAGTCAAGGTCACATTTACGATGCCACGGGTTTTCATCAAAAGCACGAGGGAAAAAGAACGAGTCAGTGACCCGAAGTATAGAAGCAAGGGAGGAGATTGGTGTCAGTCAGCTTCAATGAGTGAGGCCATTTCTGAGGCTGAGATTAAGCCAGACATCAATGTAGTCATCTTTAAATATGAATTACAATCAATTACTCTGTATATTTATCTTCCTAATCATATTCACTTTAACTTTTTCTTCCTACCAGTTGTATAATAAATTCAATGGAGACGTGAATTACACCAGAGGAGAATTCTCAGCATGCATTTATGCTTATCATATAGTTCTCCATTCGTTGAGTCCAATTATAAGTTTGTAAAGTTGGTTGGGTGTCGCGGGAACAGCTAAAGACTCATCTTACATTGAAATGTTCTATCAAGAGAGTCTTAAGACACACGATTTCGAGTTTCGACTTTCTTGCCCTCAGGAGATACTACTGGATATTGAAATATACGTTCCCCTCACTTGTGAATCTTAGCTTTTTCCCTTGAGATTTGAACTGCCTCCACGCGCGGTACCTTTCCCTGATAAAAGAGCCAAACCTAAGCCAAACCAACTGTTCTTGATGGAAAAGTAAAAGGTCATCTCGTCAATATCAAGAACGAAAAGCATAATAAAGACAAGAAAAAGAAGAAGAAGAAGAAGAAGAAGTAGTAGTGAGGGATAAAAAAAAAGCTTTGAACATTATTTGGATGGATGACCACATCAACTTGATCGAAAGTGATGGTAGACAATACCAAATTTAATACCCACTCACATATATGAGTTTGTATGAAGTACAGTTGTGATCAAAATTATTAAAATGATTGTAAAAGCTTACTTTTTGTTTTGTCATCCCTGATAGGAAGTTATTACTTTTATGAATTTCATTATATGATTAAATTCTCTAGACGTTTGTTGCTTTGATTTTAATCTGTGAAAAGAGATAAAGTATTCATTTAATAAAGATAATATTCTTATGCTAAAGATGTTTCTATTATAAGATTTGTAGAAATTTTTTTTATAGAATAAACACTTTAATGAAAGTTTCTACAAAGGTCTGTGAACTAGTTATGAGTATTCAAAGTAAGTTTAAATTTGGTTACTTTGATGATAAAGTTTTCAGTAGTAAGAACTATTGTACACAGATAAATGATAAAAAAAAATAGGATTAACTTTTGTTTACATATATTTAAGTTAATTATTTAAATATACTGATAGAGAATTTTTAAATGAACGATAAAATGATAAAAATGTAATGTTTTTACTATCAAATGTAAATGATTTTAAAATGGAATCTAATCAAATGATTATTTATGAATATATCAATAATCAGAAAGAGGTTATTTACCCACACTTATATTGAATGTAAAAAGAAACTTCAGAGGCGATAATTAGTGTACAGAAAAAACAGGAAACTTATCTTTTTTATTTGAACTCACTTGTTCATTCTCTTTTCGCTTTACCAAGTCTTGAATTCCTGGGCTCAGGTAAGCAATTCTTGGGTATTATCTGTCGGATGTGCACAAAGAATAATGGAATGACAGAGAGAAATGACTTTGAGAAAATATTCCAATGCGATTGCTTGTGATTTTTAAGTTTAAGCTTTTAACTCCTCAAGAGAAATTCTCTCAGCTATTCCCCAAAAAGAAAAAAGATATTCAGTGGTTAAGGAATTCACAAGTTTTACATTTGATAAAGAATTCTCACAACAAGATAAGGAAGTCTTTATTGATAGAGAGAAAGTCAGAAGAAGACGCGTGGGCATGTGATGCACATCTAAAAATAGCAGTGACCGTTGGTAGATGAACTACAGAAGCATTAGACGTTGATGCAGTTGTAGCATGTGGCTGAATGGTGATATCCTCGACTGATGCAGTGTATACATTTTCCAAAGGAAATTCTCATTTACAGAAAGGACTTAGGAAAAGAGCTGACTGCAAAGAGGCAAATGTAAGAATTTGCGCAGCTTTCTCATGGCTATCTCGATGAAGTTTTAAAGCCAATCGAGTCTGGAATGCGGTCGTTGAACCGTCGTAGGAGCATTTGCTTCATTGAGGTTGCCTATAATGTCATGTCTGTCTTTTATTTAATGCCTCTTTGAGTCTATAAGTTCTCGGACAATTTGTTGAGCTTTTATTTTATCCTCAAGGCAAAATGGAAAAGGAAAAGGCAGTACCTTCCTATTGGTTGCGTTAATTTCACGTAGGCAGTCCATCAATTTTCAATGGATTGTTCGCAAAAGAAAGAGAACCTGCTTGTATATGGATCCGCATGCCTTATTCCGCCTCAACACTCCTTGTTGGAGCTCTTTTGCCACCAGTCTAGGTATATCAACTGTTCTCTCTCTTTCCTCTTGCGCATGTGCAGCCCCAGGAGCTGCAATGACTTCTGCTGCATTCCAATAGCTGCAACACACCACGCATGCACTCACTGCGGTCGACGTCGCAGCGTCTTTACATCCATTTAATATCTTTTCTGACCTGCACTTTGACGTCAGCTGAATCTGTCTCTTGGTGTACCAAAAAGGAACTCTACACCCATTGGCTCTTTGCTTTGCCAATTTTTTTCTTACTACGGAAGTGCACTCCAAATCAATAGCATCATGTTGGCTCAAACTACCTTCATCATATCAACCTTTATAGTCAATATTTCAACTAATTCCTCTGCTTTATGTACCATAACATTATTTATTACCAATATCCTTATTTTTATCTAAAAACTAACGCTTGATAATTCCTTTTATTATAAAAAAAAAATTATTTATATTTTAAATCGTTCAAGTATATCGTTATTTTTTGTTCTACTTTTTGTTTTTATCATTTATGTAGTACACGTTTTTTTATCAAATTGTTGACTATCAAAGCAAAAGCCTCTTCTTACTTTGAATTTACTCGTGATTGCATATGAACACATCATCGTTATAAACTTTATTTTTTAAATATATACTTGTATCCTATTTTATCAAGTTAAATCAATTTGTATCAAAGTTGTTTAGTCATTACAGTTTTATTTTTAAATTACTATTACGTTGAAAAATTTCATCGTGAAATAGCAATCTCAGTTAATTGGAGAAAATGTACTCAACAGTTTCAACATCTTTCTGATAATTTTAGAAGGACCTAACACAAGATAAGCTATTAAAAAAGTCGTAAAAATGTTGTTTGCTTCAGTAGCTGATAACCAAAAATTAAAATGCTTTTTTCTTTTTAAATTTTTATGTAAATAAATAACCAGATGACAATGATGATCATCATTAAATGATGATTATCATGATAAAACTCATAAAAATAACTCTGGACAACTATTGCAGTTTATTCTTGTAGATAGAAAATGTCATTTCTATTTGTCAAAGTGAAGAGAATCAGCACCACGAGTCTGTAACACAAAGAGATGGAAAAATAATTGGAAAAAAACGACAAAAATACATGGAGTTAAAACAAAAAGAGTTCTCGAGACTTATCTTTGCATAAATTATATCATTCTTCCATATTCATCGCACATATATTCCACTAATATCTGCATAGCAGACACATGTGTTGAGCATCATTATTTAATGTTTTCTGTTCAACGACAGCTCTAAAAGACTCCTCCATCACCTAATAAGATAAACCTGCATAGTTGCCTACATATACATATTATAGTGACTAGACTAGAGTTGTAGATAATAAAAATTCTCAACTCGTTCAGTGTTTAATGTTCGCAAATCCTTATGATGATTATATGGAGAGGGAACAACGGACCCACGTAGCGAAGATAAAGGTATATAAACTAGGAGAGACGTCCCTGGAACCTTGGTGGGTTTACCATGTCCCAAGGACGTCGCGGGGCCCAGATTCTCCAGCCGTTCCATTTCAAGTCCTCGTCCTCGCGATCCCCTCCTACATATCTCGAGTTTATTCTTCTCGTCTTCTTTTTCTTCCTCTGTCTAGATAGTCTATACGTCTATAACCAAGCTCTTACTCACGAGCATTCGCCCATTTTCGGGCGTCCTTATCCCCTTATTTAGCCTTTGGCTTTTAGCAGTTGGCCTAGCTCAAGTATGCCGACGATCGTCGGGCCACTGAACACTTTGCTTTGTCCTTCGGACCACTGATTCGCCTCTTGTGGGGACAGACAGACGCGGGGGCAGTTAGCAACAGTCTGGCAATGCCAACAACTAATGAATACTTGCTAATTTTATGCCATTCACTCTTTATTCAAGTTTTAAGTATTGCTCAAAATAACTTGATGCTTTTTATTCTTCATACTTACATACACCAGTTTTTTCCAAATACTGATCGACTTTATCTGCAAGGATACATTTTTGCTTCAACTTATGGTTATGTGATAGCAGTAGGCAATGTCCTTTTATCAACTTTATTCTCAATATATATTGGAGAAAAAAAATTTACTCTCCTTGAATGTTTTTAATATATAAATGCAGAACAAATTGTCCCAAAAGTTACAACTGTTCTTTTCTCCAATATTATATTTCTTCCAACAAATTCTTTATCGATTCACTTTGTATTATTTTATTTTTACAATTCATTATTTATCTGCAGTTTATATTCAACGAGTAATCATTTAATTTAATAATAAAGCAAAAATATTTCAAGATGTTGAGTTGGTTATAATTGTTACACAGTGAATAAATTAAATGCCAGTTTTTTTTATACTGAACCACTTGATCATTTTCTTTTAATTGATTCAGCTGGAATATAATAAAAGATTATTGTGATAAAAAATAATAAGTGTAAATTTGAAAAATAAAAAAAAAACTTGAATACTATTTCCAAGATCATATTGACCTTTTGCAGATTGTACAATTATGGTATCGCGCCACTAATTATGTACTCTAAGTTATTTAATTTTAGCGACAATTATAAATATTCAGCTGCATATTCAGGATATTACTGAATACCTTTTGTCATTAATTTCCTCCAACTTGTAACTTTTTTTTAAAAATTTAATTAAAATAAACGGATAGAAGGAGATGTGCTGTATTGTATATTATGCGGGTAGCAGTTAATAATGAAGTTTTAAAATTAAAATGGAATTTAATGTAATCATGAATTTTTTTTACTGATCATCTGATGAGAGTTTGTAGTGCTTGTTGTGTTTCTTTAATACTTTGGTATAAATATTTTTTTCTGCGAATTATCGTATTACACCAACTCAGACGTCAATGGTGAGTCACTGTCTGCGTTCTGGCTAGCGGGCACTTTGTCTGTATGCAAGTTTGGAACATCAAAAAATGTTTTTTCATGTCAATAACTACATTAGCTGTGGTAAAAATAAATTATTACAGTATATCCATCAATCTTTAGCAGTATTTACCAATAATTTAAAGCATTTTTTTCGTCTTTATGTTGCAGGAAAAGAATTCATTTTTAAATTACAATGTTTCGTGTATCCTGACCTTACCACCATATCAACGACAAGGCTATGGACGACTTTTGATAGACTTTAGTAAGTAGATCTGAATTTATTTTTATTTTTTTTTTTTCGTTGTAATGGAGGTAAATATTGTTCCCAAGTTGTACTGGTTTTGTTGTAATTCTGTTATTTTCCTGTCTTTGATGTAACATCGTAGGTGTGAGAGTTATTTGTGATCAAAGCAACAATTTTTGAACGCTTTGAATGCCAATAGCTTGTGAATAAATCAACGTAGAAACTTTTGTGAGGACAATTTAAAATCGTTGAAAGTACAGTTACCATGATAGAATTATTATTCAATTTTTCTTTGGTGTTCTTCAATATCCTCTGTATGTTTAAATGAAAATGTTAAACTAATAATAAATATTGTAATATAATTATTTCAAAATTATTTGTTAAAAATGATAATATTTTATTCAAAACAAACTTCATATACTTTTGAAGCAATATTAATCAATTACCCTAAAAGTTTCTACTGTTAATTTAGTATTTGTTAATTCATTAGCTCGGTTTTATGTATGAACATTATTTCAAACGAATCTTTTAGTTATGAAAGTAGATATTTAAAAAAAAAGTGTGGTGAAGTTTGAAATTTCAATTGAAATATTTACACATAAAAGATGGAGATTAAAAAATAAATTGGGTCTTGATGTCAAAATAATTAACCTTGAACCTGATAAAATATTTTTATAATTAAATGGTGCTATTTTATTGAATTATATTTTCAATTATCTCTTGAATATAAAAAGTGGATAATGAAAACAATTCGGCAATGATAAAATCTTTACGATATTTTCTGTCAATAAATTGAGATCAATATATTAGTAGAGTGAATTATTTTTAGATTTCATTTGGATGTTCTTGGTTGGAAATATTCTGTAATTGAATTATTTTTAGTTCGACACATTTTAGATTTGTACTATTTAAAACTGTTATGACGTAATTGAAAAATATTTTTTCCGCAAGTAATTGAAAAGAACAATTGAATGAAAAAAGCATATGATGATAATTACAACGAGTTGTGGAATTATGGATAATATGAAACGTAAATAGATGAGGAGGAAGCTTAAATAGAGAGTAAAATAGTGCAGCAAGATAGGAAGAGAGTGAGAGAGTCAATGACGATCAAAATGGAACGTTTTTACTGTGACGTCATTTTCATTGATGCTGACGTCGAGTGCTCGACTTGATTCCGCCGCCGACAGGCGTACTACGTAGGGAGTTGTATCCCAGAGGGATGAGTGAGGGAGGAAGAAAATTACTTGGTGGTTGTGGAAACGAAGTGTGGTGGTAGACGTCTGGTGTGGTCGTGGTGAGGGTAGAAACGGCTTCGTATCAATGTCTGTGGAGTGGTTGGTACAGAGGACGAGAATATGAGGGAGAAAGAAAGAGAGGTAGAGAGAAAAGTGCGATAGGCAATGTCTCGCCGTATCGATCGGTGCCACCATCCTGGGCGTTTATATGCGCCCGTGCATCAGCATGTCCCTGGCTACTGTCGATCCTGGATACCGAGTGTCTACTGGAGGAAAAGAAGGAGATGAATTTGAAGAAAAAAACGAGCAAGAGTGGAAAAATATGAGGCAGGTGCGCATGCACTCAAAATTGCTGGTTCTAAGCAACGAGTCTGAAGAGTTCATTGACTTGTTCAACTTTATCATAGAATTTTTGCAATGAAAAAATGCAGTTTGCATAGATGTTCCTCATGAATCTCTTGTACAACGGTATTACAACTGCGTGACCTCACGTGACCCCACTCTTTCCATATCAACTAAAGGGCAAAGGGGGTTGCATCACCACCAACAGAATGACTCCGCGCCCTTGATATACAACCCGACCATGAGCACCAGCCTGTCACTGGTTCCAAAGTCCACAAACTGACCGGGAAAGCGTAATGAATGTGGTGTGGAGCAATCGAGGGAGACAACTGTCTCTCATACTCTCTCTGATGCCTTCTCTCGGGGAGATTCTCATCCTCGCTTTTGTCCTGCATCCTCCCTCGGGAGTTTGGCGAGTCGAGAGACATACAGGGGTTGCGGCAGACGAGGGAACGAGTAGTACAGAGAGACGGTCGTTGAACCTGGTGTAGCTGTTGGCCCAGCCCCGCAAGTGGTGGTGGGAGTCTAGATTTTCAGGGTTTATCAGAGAGCTCTGTTAATTCGGGGATTTGTCGGAGCCAAAGGATGTTCTTGTTGAATTGGATGGTGAATTACACTCCCCTGAGGTCTGCGAGAAATTAGTGATTGATTCAAAGTCCGTACAACGAGAGGATAATTATTTTTCTCCGCCAGTTGATGGTGATATCACTCACTCCAGTGATTCATTTGACATAAATTTGTGGCTACTACTAGTACATATAATCACACAGTCATCATCAGCACTGTATTCGCATCACGGCTCAAAGCAAGCCAATAGCTAGGCTTCGTGGATTCGCGTCATTACAATTCCTCAGTGTAACGAGGTGGAACGATCGTTCAACCAAGCATCAGGGCCAGACGTCTCATCCTCTGCCGGTCACTGATCTCTTCTCACCACTTACTCCCCATATACATGTTACTTTTTTCACTCGAGAGCCAAATCTATCTACTCTTTCCCTACTATTCTCTTGTGTGCTCGCTCGCTCGAATCAAATTGAACCAATCGCTAGATTCTCTCGTAAATCACTACAAATTCATCAGACCAACCCGTTGTGTTTAGCCAACAATAGTTACCATGTCAATACACTGTTTTTAGTTAGAATCCACTGGCTTTGTTCATCATTTTCGGTTACCCACAAAATACTCAAATCTATATCCGATCATTTATTGAACTGTATCATTGATGCTGCAAATATCATCTTCAAGAATTATTCCAACAGATGAAAAATTCCATTTCAATTCAATTAATTCATTTCCATTTGTTTGGGTTTGTCATTTTTACCACCAGTTTGTTTTCCAGTGATCTTAAATGATTGCTGTTATTTCATTTCATTAGCTAATTGTATGGTTTGGGAAACCGCTCATATTATTTCTAAATATCAAGTCAATTAATTTCAATAACATTTTTTAACCAATTTATATAACATTTTTCGACCGACCTATTAAATGAATTGCAGCAAAATTTGTCTAAAAAACACTTGGGAACAGCCCAAAGTATCAAGATTTTAAATATGAATTGGTAATTATAACAATAATTTAATTCAATGACTAGCTAGTTTTTTAATACTAATAAATATAAAACAAAGATTATGATAAAAATTTGAATAATAAAATGTGTAAAATTAGCATAAATTATAATGACTTTGATATGATGTTAAAGATGGTATTTTTAGTGATTTCAATCTGTCCTTTTGCATGTCTCAGCAATAATTCATTCTCCAATTATAGACATTCAAGAATATTTGGATAATTCTGGCTATGACAGCTTACTCTAAATACCATTTCATGTCTATTGAGTGGGAAATGATTTTCTGATGAAAATTTATTCTCGTATAGCGAAATAAAATTTACATTAGCCTGATTACTATCTATTTGATGATGATGATGATGGTTTCAAATTACAAATAATTTAGGATTATTATCGATAACATAATCTTGAAAGGTTGCTTTTTTCGATTGCAGGCTACCTCTTGACAAGGGTAGAGAAGAAAATAGGTTCTCCAGAGAAACCGCTGTCCGATCTAGGTCTCATCTCGTACCGAAGTTATTGGAAAGACGTGCTACTGCAATATCTATGTCATTTTGGTGGCAAGGAGCTCTCAGTAAAAGGTAACTTGGAATCTTGTTTATTATTGATCGTACAGCATTGCCAAAAGAAACCATGTTATATAATTTATCAACATTTACAACTGGTATTTTAGATATAAGCAAAGAAATGGCTATTGATTCATACGACATAGTCAGCACTCTTCAAGCTCTAGGAATGATGAAGTATTGGAAAGGTAAACACATCATACTGAAAAAACAGGTGAGATCATCAATACTACATGTGTTTCCTGTACGATTTATCTTGTATTTATACTATCAGTAGCATGCTTCAATAATTCATTATGTCGTGTGTGTATTTGATAAGTCACGTTTCATCCGCGAACTTATGATACTATGTACAATATGATTTGGATCCAAGCTGATTCATATATCTCTAGAAACACAATAAGTTGCAATATGTGCATTGTATACGTGCTATTGGAAAACTGCGATCAATGTGACGACTTGTGTGTGATGCGCAGACTCAAAGGAGAACCCTGCAAGTTTAATTCTGCAAATTATCAAGTCTGGTATCTAAATTTATTTATACAGAACTTTGGATAAATTTATGTTCTAGGATGTCATCGACGATTACAAGGAGAGGGTAAAACGTCGTGGTCCCCTCTACAAAGAAATCGATCCCGAGTGTCTGAAATGGAATCCCTTCCAGCCACCAAAAACACCCTCCGCTTCAAACTGAACATAATATCTTGTAGGCAACACCAACACTGATACCACATAACTACTTACCCATACTTTTAAACTGTTGACGTTGGCCCTTCTTGCCAACACCATTTGAACCCCTCTTTCTACCAGGCCAATAGAAGGCAAGTTCACCCTGGTCATGTATGAGCAACGGATCCAGTTGCTTATTCGTGTAGGTATCATCAGTTAGGTGGAAGAAAAAACCATCTTTTATAAAACAACTGACGTAGAAAAATGAAAAACTTCAGTGATGTAATTTAAAAAATCAAGTAACAAGAATAATGTATAAAAAAAACTGACATCTTGATGTTAGATCTGTTTTATAAAAAGTTTAATTTCATACGTACTTGATAATATAAATGTGCTCAATACAAATTATAATTATAAAGGATGAACTTTTATCCTGGATTAAGTGATTTTGGTTTAAGTTTCTTTGTGCCTTAACAAATTTCTTCATTAGAAGAATATGAGTTAAGAGTAGGATTTAAGTTGTATAGAAGGAATGAGTCAGAAAGAATGACAGAGAGACGTAAATAATATTAACTTAGTTAATAAAAAATCATTGATTTTATTAATTATTGTTGACTGTATTATTCAACACTGAGTACAAATGTTTATTAGTGTTGAATTAATTTAATTAAGTTTATTCTTAGTATTGTATACTATTTAACCTAGAGAATTGGAAATTCTTTTATTTTCATCAATAATTCTTTATTAAAATGCAATTTTAATCTATAACATTATCTGTCGTATTGTCGCTGATATTTTATAATCATGAACATGATCGATAAATTAAATAGTTTTATTTTTGCACATGCTCAATTTAATCGTAAATCATGTCTTCTTCCTTCCATTTCTTCATTCCATTGGTCTCCAGAGTCCAATTCAGTATCACGTTGACTTGATGATACGTTTTTTGATTCTTTTTATACACACTAAAAAGTCGTTAAAAAAATATACTAAGTGTTGTCTATTAAAGCTATTTTGTATTATTACATTCAATTAACACTAGTAATTACATCATTTAAAAATAAACTACAAGATTTATGATGTTTCAATTAAATTCTTTCTTTTATGTACCGATTCTCGAGTATATTGGAATTTTTTCATCAATTTCTATCAAAGACGTTTGATGTAATGAATTTAATGAAAAATAAAAAGTATCTGATGGATGACAATATTAAAAATGTAGCATTTAGATCATTTAATATTTTCTGGAAGATTGAAAGCTTTCAAAAAACGATTTCTTATCCTTTAACATTATGTTCTTCTTTAGAAAAAATTTGAAATTTATCTTTTATATATTTTATAATAAATCCATCTTGAAGTAATTGGAGTTTGTAATTGATACTGCTAACCCAAATGTAAAAAAACTTCGTATCCTAAAGGTTCCCCGACGTTCCCGGGTGAGACTATGGGGAGCAAATTTTTTTTTTTTTTGAAAATTTTTTTTTTCTACTCCAAACGTACTTTAACCATTTTTAAATGGCAACAACAATATACATAATGAAATTCATGGAATAGTGATATATTTGCGAAAAACTAAGAAATATAAAAATAGGCATAACTTCTATGCTAATAATGCTACAAGAGTGATTGAGGGCTCAAATGAAAGATCTCGATGAAAGGGAAAAGATCAACATAGTTAAAATCATAATTGTTGCAAAATTCATGCAAAAATTGAAGCAAGTTCCCGTTTTACCCCATTTTAGGAGTGAAATAATTAATTTTTTATATATTTGACCCGATTCCGCATTTCTACACATCAAGACGAAGAGAATGAGTGGTCGATCATCAAAATCGGACAACTTTGATTTTTCGACCCAAAAAAATGGCAAGTGGTACCCCTTTCCATTTTTTTTGGCGAAAAAATAAAAGTACTCCGATTTTCAAGTTTGACCACTCATTCTCTTCGTCTTGATGTGTAGAAATGCGGAATCCGGGCACCGCCCGGAAAAACTCACTTTAACACACTCAAACAGGGGTAAAACTGGATACACATTAAAACTCATCATCCCCTTCACTTTAAACCCTTATAACTCATGAACGAACGGTCCAATAACTGTTTTTAGGGACGTTTTAGAAAGATTAAAATCTAAGCTATCTAACGATATCCATATATTTATTGAAAAAAAATCCCTTCACCCTTAAAATCGCTAAAATATATAAAAAAATCACATTTTTTTGGGACTTTGCCAACTATTTTGGCAAATTTAAGGTTGTAATAAATTTTTTATACACTTTTTATGGATATGTATCTTTAGCCAAGATTCTAAAGTTTTTGAATGTATCTTAAAAATCATGGTCTAATAATTATTCTACGAGTTATAGAGGTCCAAAGTCAAAGTAAGGGCCATAAAATCATCTATTTTCGACTTTGGACCTTTATAACTTCTGAACAAATCGCTTAATGACAATTTTTAAGCGGTATTTGGGAACTTCAGAATCTTGGCTAAAGATACATATCCATAAAAATCGTTTAAAAAATTTATTTCACCCTTAAAATCGCTAAAATACTTGGCAAACTCCCAAAAAAATGTGATTTTTTTATATTTTAGCGATTTTAAGGGTGAAGGGATTTTTTTTCAATAAATATATGGATATCGTTAGATAGCTTAGATTTTAATTTTTCTAAAACGTCCCTAAAAACAGTTATTGGACCGTCCGTTCATGAGTTATAAGGGTTTAAAGTGAAGGGGATGATTGTTAGTAATTTGTACCCAGTTTTACCCCTTTTTGAGGGTCTTAAAGTGAATTTTTCTGGGTGGTGCCTCGATTCCGCATTTCTACGTATCAAGACGAAGAGAATGAGTGGTCAAACTTGAAAATCGGAGTACTTATATTTTTTGGCCAAAAAAAATGGAAAGGGGTACCACTTGCCATTTTTTTGGGTCGAAAAATCAAAGTTGTCCGATTTTGATGATCGACCACTCATTCTCTTCGTCTTGATGTGTAGAAATGCGGAATCGGGTCAAATATATAAAAAATTAATTATTTCACTCCTAAAATGGGGTAAAACGGGAACTTGCTTCAATTTTTGCATGAATTTTGCAACAATTATGATTTTAACTATGTTGATCTTTTCCCTTTCATCGAGATCTTTCATTTGAGCCCTCAATCACTCTTGTAGCATTATTAGCATAGAAGTTATGCTTATTTTTATATCTCTTAGTTTTTCGCAAATATATCACTATTCCATGAATTTCATTATGTATATTGTTGTTGCCATTTAAAAATGGTTAAAGTACGTTTGGAGTAGAAAAAAAAAATTTTCAAAAAAAAAAAAAATTTGCTCCCCATAGTCTCACCCGGGAACGTCGGGGAACCTTTAGGATACGAAATTTTTTCCATACGAAAAATTAATTAATGTAATCAAATTCCTATGTAAAGCTTCGTTGACTCATGATGTTGAACTTTTGCACCTAGATGTTTAATTGAAATTTCTATACAGAATTTTCAAGATAAATAAAAACAAAAGAAATGTCTTTAAAGAGTCTCAATTTTATTTCTAAAATGTACAAAGATTATTTATATTCTCTTAATTTGTTCTCCATTAAATATGTACAACAAGTTTTCATAACACTTTTATTTAGTTTAAATGTTCTGAAAATGAATGCAAATAAGAGCATGCAAATGAAAGAAAAAAAATTCTATCAACGATGTGTCTTAAAAAATGTTTAAATATTCAAATATTTAGAAGATAATTTTTTTCATGAGGAATGTTACAGATGAATGAAAAAAATGTAAATTTACGTAAATTACAGTAAATATATAGATATATATGTACAAAACATGTTAAAGCCTGGCATAAAAAATGAATATCGTTAGGGAAAAGGGTCATTATGCTAGGCCCAGACACTATTTTATTCGGAGCGTGCAAAGAGCCCTGTAATTGCATTAGAGGAAGTAGCGATCCTCCCCACTTGGAATATAGTTGCTGACCATGTGTGAGACCCTCATATAACGTTATTATTCCATTAACTGACTCCGCTGTACAATATTCTGACCCTTTCATTGGCAAAATAGCCACCGTTTGAGATAGAAACCTGTTCAATATATCATTGAATTTGGCGCGCACACAAACATGCGCATATTAAACCAAAACTACTTCCAGAAAATGTTAACGATTAATCGTGGCCATGAAATCTAGGTCAACACTGAAGCAAACTGGAATCCGCCAATGAAATCAGAGCGACCATACTCGCACGTCCTTCTCTTTTATTCTGTCCTCAGTCGCTGAACTGAAGGGAAAGTTCATAAATATACACGGGATGTCATGACTGATGTATAAGAAATTACTTGCTCGCCAATTTTGCAATAATCATCATATAACACATGTCAAGCATGAAAAATATTACGTCTATGCTTCTATCAGGCTTATTCTAACTCTATGAATAAACAACTTCATTTTACAACTCACATGTTGTTAATTCTATACATAACACAATTCTCAAACAATTTGTGACACAATCATTTTTTCCTTTCGTTCTTTCAATGTTATTGAAGTTCAAAATTGTTTTACACGTGCTTGATATTCTTTTTTGTATGTTAATAAATCTGTTCAAGAGCTAATATAGTTCTCAAATTAACATTGTACACTCTAAATAATTGTATAAATATCATTACAACTAAATCAAATTATCGTTGAATATAATTTAATCTTATATGACAAAATTGTGTAAACCTTGATATTTCGGAACTCTAAAGTTGTTAGAAAGTTTGCTTGTAAGCTAATCCAATTTCACTAATAAACTCATGAAAATTAAAGGATAAATTGCTACATATTTCCAACTATTTATATGATATTGTCATTGTCAATTTGGATGTTGAATTAGATTTATAAAATACAGATTGTAAAAAAAGATTCTTTTTGGATGAGTGATAGCTACTGTCATCAATAAATCATCATCATTTTAATTATTTATGATTCATTCATAGAATTACGTCAGCTAAATTCGAATAATACCATGTTCAATATCATTCTAAATTTATTGGATGTTTTGACTTATATTATTTATCAAATGGAAAATGAAAATCATAGTGTAGATTTATAAATAGACTTCAATTCTCATTTTAAAATTGTATTTATTAATTCGTTGATACAGTTGTCAAAATAGATATATTTATATTATATTAATCATGAATTGAACAACTAAAAATATACAGAAATACTTATTTTTTACATAACATTTATTTGAATGAAAAAAAAATTTATTTTATCTAACTAATCAAGCATATGTCTAAAAGTTAGCTTATTACATTAACGTTAATTTTTTTCGATTCGATTATGAAAAGCCAATTTGTAGTAATATTTTGTCATTTAAAATTAAATCAGTGATAAATGCAGATAAGTAGAAAATGTGTTATGAATCATAATAAGAAAGCAAACGTTTATATCAGGCATATTCTTATTAAGTAATTTAATTTGAAAAGAAATATCAAAAAAATTTGAATAAATTGTAATTCTTCCAATGCTTATATAAAAATAGAAACCTTGAGTAATTATTATAATATATATGTTGGTGTGATTATTGAAGACCACAATACAAGAAACATTTATTTCTTTTCAAAAGAATTTAAGAATAACAACCTAAAAATAAGCTATTGGTTACAACAAGATAAACTAGCGTATAACATTGTGCTCACATTTTTTTTAGCATCATGTAAATTGGCTTTTGCCTTATTAGTCGTATCTTTTATTTAATATAACTATTTCAATCGACTGATTAAATCTAATTGAATAAAAAAAAAAGTAAATAAAATTCCTGTCTTTTATTTTACAATTTAAAACATAGAAGCTTTTAATAGAAGTAATTTTACAAGTGTAAAATATTAAATAAAAATAATATCACCTGATACAATTCCATCTGGAATAATTAATGATGGTTTTCTACTTGAATAGCAATGAAGTTTCAGTGATGGGTGTTAAATGAACCCAAATGTAGCGTTAAAGATGAGTGAACAACTAGACAACGGAATAAGTAATGCAGCAAGGCATAGTCATATGAATTGCGCTCCA